TCCACCCACCTCTATCCCCCCCAACCCCCACGTCCACTTACCACATCCACTCACTCCTAACATCCATCCATCCCCCACACACGCCCACCCCCACCCCCTCCCAGGACGTGAGCCGCGAGGACAATCGTCCGTCCCATCAACAGGCGGCGCAACTACTCCACCAGTGGTGCGCCACACACACGCCCCAAACTCTGTTGTGTAAGGACGCCATGTATTCTCTACACCTCACCTTCTATCCACATCTTTTTTTTGTATGCCTCTTTTGTCCACCCAGAGCTCCGTTTTACGCTTAAAAAACCAAAACAAAACATCAATGCTCAATTTATTTTGTGTATCATCATCATCATCATCATCATCATCATCATCATCATCATCATCATCATCATCATCAGCATCATCAGCATCAGCATCATCATCATTATCATCATCATCATCATCATCATCATCATCATCATCATCATCATCATCATCATTGTAAATAGCAAGCAACAAAAAAGGGTTGAGACTTAAAATTTTCAAATTTTACACAGGTTCAACGTTTCACCCGTAAAGGGCTTCATCAGGAACATTATACAAAATTTATTATCATCATCATCATCATCATCATCATCATCATCATCATCATCATCATCATCATCATCATCATCATCGTTCATCATCATCATCAATATCTTTCTCACCCTTGAAAAAAACACGTTCTACCTTTCCCTATCCGAGGTTAGCCTCTTGGTATCATTCCTTGTCTAGGAGGTCGTTAACCCTATCAGACCCCCTGGGATCATTTTGTACCCCCGGGGTTAATTTGTATTCTTCACATTTTAGAATACTTCTAGTGTGAAGATCTCTTTGAAACGTTCAGTATTTCTTTAAAAAAATATTTTGACAGACTGCTATGCAAAGCGTAAAGATCGGATTATCGAGTAAATTCCCTCTTTAGCAAGTGGTGGCACAGAGTTTCCCATATGTATGGATACGATAGTAAAACACGGATAGGGTTAGGCTTGCCCGAATAAACAAACAAACAAACAAACAAATAACAAACATATACAACCGTGTACTGGCTATACCCTGCCGTCCAACCAATCCGCTCCCTCCCTTTTTTTTTCCTCCCATGGGAAGTGTGCATGTATATAATTAATATCTTCCTGCAGGCCTGGCCAGAGAGGTGGTAATCTCACACACACAGACCGACAGACAGACAGGCAAACAAACACACTCATTTGACTGCTTTTAAGGACAAGCGGGCTAACCCTGATTTCGGGGGTTTCCAGAAATCTTGACCAACACCAAAAGTGCGCGTTGCCCTGCCTGCAGGAGAAGTTTGGTTTCACTGGTGTGTATATACATGTATTTTGTTTGGATGTAGAGAAAACTCTCCTTGTCTTTCAAAGAAACTGAACAATGGGCAAACATTTTACTGTTCATACCCCTCTGTCTCCCCC